CCGACCTCCACCTTCCCAGCATCCTTTGCAGCTGGCTCCGGCTCCCGGGGGGGCGAGGCCCTGGCCCGGTTGATCCACTTCTTCCCAGCATCCTCTGCGCCTGGGCTCCCAGCATCCTTTGCAGCAGGGGGTCCAGCCTCCGGGGTCGTGGCTGGCTGGGGCAGTTTCCCAGCATCCTTTGCTGTCTCTGTATGGACCCCAGTCCCAGCATCCTTTGCGGCCCCTGTCGCGGCCTCTCCGGCTCCCGGGGGGGCGAGGCCCTGGCCCGGTTGATCCACTTCTTCCCAGCATCCTCTGCGCCTGGGCTCCCAGCATCCTTTGCAGCAGGGGGTCCAGCCTCCGGGGTCGTGGCTGGCTGGGGCAGTTTCCCAGCATCCTTTGCTGTCTCTGTATGGACCCCAGTCCCAGCATCCTTTGCGGCCCCTGTCGCGGCCTCCAGCCCAGGATCCTCAGCGGCAGCTTCGTGGCTGCCAGGGGGGCGGCCCCATTGACCGCCGCTTTCCCAGCATCCTTTGCTGCCTCCGTGCTGGCCTCAGTCCCAGAATCCTTTGTGGGCCCTGCCTTGGCCTCAGTCCCAGCATCCTTGGACAACTCCTTTCGGGCCTCCATCCCAGCATCCTTTGCAGGCCCTGCCTTGGCCTCAGTCCCAACATCCTTTGCAGCAGGCAGCTCTGCCTGGGGCTTCAGGGCTGGCTGGGGGATGGTGCCGTTGATGGCCACGATCCCAGCATCCTTTGTCACCCCTGCCTTGGCCTCAGTCCCAGCAGCCTTTGCCTCAGTGTGAGCCTCAATCCCAGCAGCCTTTGCAATCCCTTCCTTGACCTCCATCCCAGGATCCTTTGCAGCCCCCACTTTGACCTCAGTCCTAGCATCCTTTGCGGGGCCCACCCTGACCTCAATCCCAGCATCCTTTGCCTCAGTGTGAGCCTCAATCCCAGCAGCCTTTGCAATCCCTTCCTTGACCTCCATCCCAGGATCCTTTGCAGCCCCCACTTTGACCTCAGTCCTAGCATCCTTTGCGGGGCCCACCCTGACCTCAATCCCAGCATCCTTTGCCTCAGTGTGAGCCTCAATCCCAGCAGCCTTTGCAATCCCTTCCTTGACCTCCATCCCAGGATCCTTTGCAGGCACTGCCTTAGCCTCAGTCCCAGCATCCCTTACAGCCCCCAGCTTGACCTCAATCCCAAAATCCTTTGCAACACACAGCTCCGCCTTGGGCTTCAGGGCTGGCTGGGGGATGGTGCTGTTTATGGCCACGATCCCAGCATCCTTTGTCACCCCTGCCTTGGCCTCAGTCCCAGCAGCCTTTGCCTCAGTGTGAGCCTCAATCCCAGCA